CTTAGGCTCATAAGTGAAAAAAATCGCAAATAATTCAGGAAAAAACATTTGTAAAGTGAAAAATACCTTTGTAGGAGTACAAATAAGACTCCAACTATCGTTCAAGTTTCTTACATCTAGATTTACTATGCGTTAAGAGTAGATATTGAAGTATTTCCAATTTCATGCACTTTTGTCTAAGATTGTACGTCCAATACATCCTTAAATATCTCAAAAAATATTAGTTAAATAAAAAAATGTTTCAGACAAAAGTTGTTCAAATTAATTGACAGAAGTTGATATAAAAATATAATAAAAAATAGTTTTGTTTACAAATTTCAAGATCTTTACGTGACCTTGACGACACTGTTCAAGGTCATATTGGTATTGCTATATAATGCGTCATCTGAACCTACAATTTTTGTTTTAATTTATTTTTTTTATCTTGCATATTTTCCGAATTATTCAGGGGTTTCCATCTTTTTTTCACCCTGTATATAATAACGTAGTGTATAATATAATGGACAAATATGCAGGTCCATTGCAGACCTGTATTGTGATGAAAATGGATGCACAAGTGGTGAAAACAATCAAGCCGAGTATCACGAGTGTAGTTGCTACCGCGTTGACGGAGCTTTTCAGAACGTTTCTCAGTTTCCCGTCCACAATAATGCTCAATTTGTAGAGACCTCTGATATTGGAGGGTACGAGCGCTTGATGTCGTTCCATACACCACGACCTGAGCGCACGTATCATTGAATCAAAATACCCGAGTATCATTTCCCAAAAGCCAAAATAGCTGCCCAACTGTTTGACGACGTAATACACTAGCGGGATCACGAGGATGTGCGCGATCCATCTGTGCTTCCAGAGGAGCATACCAGCACACGCGTACAGCGCTCCATACATATACTTGTCGGTGTCGACCTCGTCGTCCTGCGTATCCAGAGAGGTACGTAAGTCGGCCCTTATCTTGCCGAGTAGATAACGGTCGCGTAATGTCGCCCGAGCTAAAGAATATACGTTACGCATGCCAGGTTTATGCGTGGGCGACAGACCGGCGTCCGTATCCAGAGACATTGACTTGACGCCAAGTCTCGGGGGGCCACGTGCTCTCGCGACACTCGCTGCATCGGCGGACACCGATCTTTCCGTTTCCTCTCGAAAGCGGATCGGTGTGTCCGTACCCTCGCCTTCCGGAATACAGTCATTCGTCCGCTCGTCGCCCGTCACCGACGAGGCTGCTTTATCATCTTGCGAGCACAATAGGTCATTGGTGAGAGCGAAATGCACCGCCTGCGAGAACGTCAAGTGCCCGCCGTTCCGCTCGTGGCTGTCCATGATGACTAACACTTCGTAAATGAATCCTACTACGCACAGGATTTGCAGAGTGGTAAATACCAGAACTCGATAAGCCCCCGCTGTGCTCGACAGATACATGCTGATGATGAACCACATCACGAAGGATGCATAGCGAAAACGAAACGAGTTTGACGGTGTCCAGTAGATGTATAAAATCGTCAAGTAGCCAGCGAGCATGGTAGAGACCTGCGAAATAAGATCCGATGAAGCGAAGAAACAAAAGTTTCTTTGTATTTCTATATAGGATATATCACGCCTGCACAAGAAAAGTGACACAAAGAGCCATTTTATAGGAGAATGGGTTTAGACGATACTTTATTCACTCAACATATAGCCAAGAAGTGGAGAACTACTTGGTGATACAATTAATGTTTAAACTGCATTCACTTTTCACTCATTTATACCTTCCTCTCATCCTCTGCGCTTCCCTAAGCACTTAAACTATATTAATCTAAATGTTATCTAAATAACTCTCTTTAATGTCTTTTCTTTGACTGTGATTCCTGATACCTCTCTCGTCCTTCCTTCCCCTTTTCCTCTTCTTCCCCATTCAACATGTTCTCCAAGCAATATTTATTTCCCTCTCCCTTAAAGCCAAATCTTTTCTAGGAGAATGACTTTCAATCTGCTTGTAGATCATACAACTACAAGATCTGCCAAGTTGCTCTCATCTTTATTTTTCTTTCCTCTCCATACTGTAAGAATGTATTCTTCTCTCAAAGGTTCCTTCTTTCTAACTCTATTTTTAAATGAAATAGAAACTTTGCATTGATCCTTTTCGAACCAAAGTTTTACAACTACATCTGTGAAGCTCTTATGGACGAGAGTAAGTTAATAAATTAGAAAAATGCAACAACTCATATCTTTGATCAGTGCCACTTTTCTTGTTCAGAAGCGAGAACTACTGGACGCAAGGTAAACTACCGTGAAGATGTTGCACATCAGAATGAAGAATCCAGAAATGACGGTGAAGATTTGAAACATCCTCCAGGCGAGGCACGTTAATACGCTGGGGGTGTAATGATACACGCCTACAGCCGGCAATGTCAATGACGCCGCCCAGACAATGTACTTGATACGCGTCCACAAGAAGGTGCCCACCTTTTCGGAAACATTATCAAATATGTACACGGGCAGCAGGCCGACGTTGACAACCAGCGGAGTCCGCGACGCCTCCACTCTGGCGAACCAAGATTCCACCGCCGTGGCAAGCGAACACTTGAACGGAAAGAGAACGGACCCGCACAGCAGGGCCCAGATTAGGGGCTTGACAAAGGGACGAAGAATAATGTAGAGGCCGTAGCCGGCTGCGGAGACGAGGCACAGGAAGAAGAGCGCGACGGCGTTGTAAATCCCTTGCTTCAGAGCCTTCTCCTGACCCGCGCTGAAGCCCGACAGCATGTTGAGAAGGTTATCCATCGGCGAGCGGACGTTCTCCATCGTTATATACTTGGTTGCTCGGTAGTAACTATATAATAGCGATAATAATAACTTGTGCGCGAGTTGTCTTCAAACCGTTCTCGGTGCGTCCTCGCATACGCGAGCGACGAGAAGGCACATTTCTTGGAGAAACGACAGAAAACGCGCGACTAACGATGCTCACAGATAATCGCCACTACTGAGCCGCATGGCACACACGCGCTACCGCATATACATACATATATTCATACATACGTATGTACATACATACGCTCGCATAGACGCATATGCCAATTCAAATCAGCTGATTCAGAGATCGATTCTCCAGCGCCGGAAAAGCGAGAAAGCAAATCGGGGGTTCTGAGACAAGATAAAATGAGGAAATCTTGAGTTATAAACTTCCCGGATAACCAGTGTGAGCACAAGTTGCTTTCATATTGCTAACAAAAATGTTAGCATCTTGCTATGCATCCTATGTCGTCTATTGTGCTGTTATTTGCTAGCATTTGTGATGTCGGAAATTGTTGCTATCGGTACAGGCCTTTGACTATATAATCATGACTGCCAGTTGGCTTTTTTTCGATTTAATGACCGGAATTAAGTTGGCGCTGGGAGCTCATATTTTCGTATAAAACCTAGCTCAAACGATTGCTCCCGAATTGCTCCATTAGAATCCACAATTGCTCCACTTTTAAAATCAATAGTCAAAGAAAGAACAGGAAATCTTTATTGCAATCAGAACACGTCTTCTCCGAAAGGCGTACTCAAAGACAATTCGTAAAAATCAATCATCAACAACAACATATCGGTCCCTGGCGACCGACGTTTCCTCGCGCCGCAACTCAGCCCACGGCTTACTTATAGCGTTTTCGATTTTCTGACTCGGAGTCGGGTCGAGTCAGCAAATCGAAAACGCTATATTAGTTGCGCATTCACCGGATGGCTCCGTGGGGCGAGTGTAATGATGCCACCGTCTTCAATGGGCACAGCGCAACAATATTATTCTTTCCTTGATTTCTTCCGATAAAATTTTTATGCTCGATTGTTTGGCTATAACATTTTAATATAAAAAATAATTAAGTACCTAGTTTGTATAAATATTCAGTTTAGTTGGCGCCATTTGATGATATCATTACTTTTGTAGAGAAGATACTTTGGAGAGGGGGGAAATAAAAAAAATTTTTTTAAGTAAAAGATATCCAAATAAGTAAATTATATAATTCTTGATTGGATGACGCTTATACTTAATTGGCGCCTTTTTAAACCTTTTTATTAACAAAGTTTGTTTTACGCCAAAAATTATATTTCTTCTATCAAAAATACCTCCTTACAGAAAATTTCAACGGATAGAGATTTGCCAAAACGTAATCATTACCAATATATGAAGAATTTGACAAATACAACAAATTAATTCTGTATTTTACAATAGTTATTTTCCGAACAATCTGTGTCTTTAGAAATCTTTGCATTAACACTTAATTATTAAGACAAATCATTTAGTGACTTTTTTTACGAGTGATTTCATCTGCAGTTACTCAAAAGTAATACATTTTTTAAGAGAAATTCCTTATAACAATTAGACATTTAAATAACATATATAATACTTAAAAGAAAAATAGAGAAAAATTTATTTACAACATCAATGATTTTTATTGACCGTATCTGGCAATTAAAAAAATTGATTTCTTTATAATAAAGATTTATTCTCTATTTATAATATTGAATAGAATTTTCTCTCTGATATTAAAGGCCGACAAAAAGAATTTTATCAAACAACTTTAATCGGAGTAGGTGTTTCTTACAGATTTTTGATCACAAAAAAGCAATCCTGCTGACCAAATTGCTCCATCTGAAGAATGATATTAAAGTTATTTAAGAATACTTAAAAAATGTTAACTTTAATGACGAATATCTTGATAAAAAAGCATTATAAAAAATGGTTATATGAACTTGAGGGATTATTGTTATCTATTCTACATGTCCATGACTACCAGTCTTAACCGGAACACCCTGTTTAACGATATTTAAAATTATATACATAATTTGAGGGCAAATTTCAAGAAATAAAGGACTAAGAGCTGTGACAGGATGGTAGTATCTAAATATTTCGACACTATTACTACCCTGTCACGGCTCTTAGTCCTTTATTTCTTGAAATTTGTGTTTAACACATATTAAAGGTGTTTACACTTTGAACAATCATAAACTTATCGCAACTCTTTTCATATTGAAGCATATAATGCCTTATCCAATTTTATTAGCATTGAATTTTTTAGACTTTAGAATTAATATTTCTTTACTGAAATTCGCTCAGAAACTATAAAAATGTTTTTTTTTGTAATTTTCGTAGTATCAAAATTAATTGTTTTGTATGCTATTTTTGCATTCAATAATAAAAATAGATTAAACATATTGACAATTGTTTTTATTATCTCCAACATTTGTTGAATATACATATAATTTAATACATATTATTTTCCACTAAAAATAATGTTTGTGACAAAACTAATCAAAATCCACATTTACTAATGAATTGAGAAAATACTATATGTTTTATTAAGTTTTATAAAGTCAATGTGATGTCATACAAGAAAGAAATTAATTTTATGTAGAATGCAAGAAAATGTTTTACAAGATTCCTAATATTAATTCAAAATTTAATACAGTTACAGTGAAGAAAGTTATATCCAAATATATCTATTGTATATTAAATTAGTAATTACAATTTGCTAATACATTTAATATAGCTATTACAATATAATCTTTTTAAGTAACTGTCTCGGTTTGTAACTAACTTTGTCATAAATTTAATCAATTTTGATATTAGTAGATAAATTGGTTAATAACTTATTCGATAATATTGAATTCAAAATTTGGAGAATTAAGTACACTATGACTAGATTTCATATCAGTTAAATATTTAAAATTAACAGTTTAACGCATACTGTGTAATGCATATAGAAAATACTTATTTCATAAGTAATGTTTGCACTTGATTTAAATTTTATAAAAAATATCAATATTGTAAGAAACTATTTAACACTGACAATTGTTACAAAACGTTCTTAAATATTCCAACAAACATATTCCTATAAAACTTAAAATTTTCTTGCATCATATACAGGGTGTTATTTAATGTTATGTACTTATTTTAATGGGTGATTCTTGGACTAATTTTAAGTCGAAAAGTATAAGTCATATAAATGTATAACCTAAAAAGTTGGTTTTCGATTTACAGGGTGCTAAAGCTATTTTTTTTTGTTTTTATCAAAAATTTCGAAAACCGATTGAGATATTACATTAAATTTTAGGACAGCATATTATGGTGTAAAAACATACTTTTTAACAAAAAATTATTTATTTAACCAATGGCGTAAGTATGGCTACGTCATGATAGAATTTTAACTAAACAATTGTTACGCCACTGTTTATTTGAAACTGTTAGTATTAATTACCATTTAATTTTAAATAAAAAAGATGTCTTGCATTTTTGTCGTATACCTTACTATTTTGAAGAAAATAAAAATAAAAATTGTAGTTATTAAATGGATATCTGCAACTTATTCCTAAGCAAAAACCAGTTATATAAAATCACTAATCACAAGGCTACATTTATGTACATACTTATTTTTATGTACATTTTATATACGTTAGCCGAGTGCTGAGCGCTATATTCCTCTACGCGCCCAGTTGCCTGACAGAGCTTCTAAGTTGGTATCTCGAACGAGAACGAGTAGTCAGTGATGAGCCGAGAAAACGAACGGCGAAAATAAGAGTAACCGGCGCTTGTTTCAAATAAACAGTGGCGTAACAATTGTTTTGTTAAAATTCTATCATGACCTAGCCATGCTTATGCCATTGGTTAAATAAAAAAAATTTTTTGTTAAAAAGTGTTTTTATACCATAATATGCTGTCCTAAAATTTAATGTAATATCTCAAACGGTTTTCGAAATTTTCGATAAAAACCGAAAAAAAATAAAAACTTTAGCACCCTGTATTTCGAAAATCAAGCTTTTTAGGATATACATTTATATGAATTTTTCGATTTAAAAAATTAGCCCAAGAATCACCCATTTAAAAAAGTACATAACATTAAGTAACACCCTGTAGATATGATAAATAGAAAAAAAAATTATATATAATTTGATTCAAGGCACTATTCAAAGTACAATCAAGAAACAGAGAGAAGAGAAATAGGTAATAAATATTATAATAAAATATAGAAATAATTCATTGGTATTTTTACAATTTCAGAAATGTATAGTTTTAGAAATTATTTACATAGCAAAGAATAATTAATAAAAAGATATTTTTTATATAAAAGAATTAGAAAAAAATAGTAAAATTTGTTTCTTGAATGAATTGATTAATAATTAATTTTTATATTCCGTAAATGTAAAGAGAATATTTTATCTAATAAACCAGTAGAGGAATATATATTGAAAGTCACCAGTGATGAATAAAATAGAAATAAAACTTTTTGTTGATCCAACTGGCAATATAATTAGTTAAATGTTACATTTGGTACCTTTCAATCAAAATATCATGCAGGTTCTTATCAAATAACCGAACTCGTGCATAGATGTTTGCAGAGCATAAATTATAGCAGACTCATAGGTCATTGTCAACGCAAGAATTCGTCAGAAAAATTATTTTAACTTAAGTGAGCACGTTTACACGTTATAAAGTTCCGAGTTTAACTGAAGTTCATTTAACTAATTATATTGTCAGTTGGATCAACAGAAGTTTTATTTATATTTTATCTAATAATTTATAATCGCAATCATCATTAAGTAACAAAATACCGGTGTAATCATGTGTTGAACACAAAATATAAAAATTTTACGATAACACTAAACATTTTCGTGTAATAAATTAGACATTATGGAATCCATCTTTATAACTTGTACTTTCGATATTAATGTTTTCTTTGAGTCTATGTTGTATGAAGACCAATAACTTATCAATTCTGGAAATTTATTGTTATCAACGTGTTTGACTTTGATAGATGTAAATTGTTTTCGTGAATTTAAATTTGGTTGACAATTAAGTTTGTTACACAATTGTATTATATCACATTGACTGGCATTAATAGGTTGAACATCTGAATAATTCACCAAAACTATAAGAACTCTTTCTACAAGCATTTGTTCTGTAAAGGTTGTTTTTTCTATGTGTTCTGATGGTGAATCCATCCATTGCCAGAACTTAATGGCAAATTCAGAATAGTAAGGTTTATTCATTAAAAATACTGGCTTTGATGCAAATGTATTCAAACTCATATGATCCCATATAGTTATTGGCTCTTTTGTTAATCTCTGCAAAGTTAGATTTATGCTGGTACGACACATATGTCCTGGACATATTCCTTCGTTTTCTATAGTCAGATGATGATAGAAAGTAGGCCTCCAACTGTATTCATCATCATATGATTTTATTATTGCAAATAATCGTGGAATTGTCGCCGATTCCATGGAAAATTTCTTATGTATTTGCGTTGTCTTTAAATTATGGAATAATTCTTTCCAAGACATGTATCTTGTTATATCTGTAACAGATAGGTACTTTTTATGATATAGATAAAAATTTTACAAACTAAAATATAGGAAAATTATTTAAATAACATACATTTTGCACTGTTATCATAACAAGTATAGGATATATTGCCATTAGGAACAAGATTATATATATCAATAGAAATGCAATTATTAATTGAATAACGTTCCAGTAATTGGCCATTTTTGCCAGATAAGAAAACAAGAGATGACACATTTGTATGGTCTATTGCTACGCTTAATAAATCTTCAATATCATCTGCATCAATGTCTGGTACAATAACTGGTAATTTAGAGACTGTTCGAGTCGTGGAACTCCAATGAATTGTTCCAGCAATCGGTTCTATGCTAATGAGCAGGCCTTGTTCACCAACAACAATGCAATCTGGTTTTCCAGATTGGTCAATATCAATACTAGTACAATCTATAACAGTAGGTAATCGTTTTAATGGAACCAGCCATAATGGTAATCCATTATCTCCTTGCATTGATATAACGCCTCCTCCTTTTGGAGGTATCTGTCTCTGATGAATTCCATTTCTTGTATCATTCTTTCTGTATTGTTCACCATGAAGGAGAAATATTAGATTATATGGAGATCCAGGCACTATGGTAATAGGCCCATATATTTCTGTTTTAATGAAAAAAATATAACAATTAATACATTAAAATTACATTATTAAATTGCAAAAAATAACTTTATAATATTTAAATAAATAATTATTAATACCTCATGCAAATATTACAGAATAAATAATCTATTTATCTTTACATGTACTTGTTCTATTTAGAAATACAGATAAAAATGGCAGTAACGTAACTTAAAGTAATGAACTCACCTACATCTTGCAAAGATTTATCCCATGATATAGACGAATGTGGTTCAATAATAGGTGAACAAACCATCGAGCTGTCACAAGGTAATACATACAAAAAAATTACTATCACAATAATGCATAATAATATTGATACAAATAAACAGAAGCGTCTCATCGGTGATATATCTTTTCTTTTCCAAAAATCATCTTGCTCACTTCCTTCAATTACCATTATTGGTACATCATCTCGATAATATTTGATTGTGTTTTGTCTATTTCTTGTATTATTTTCTACATTTTGTGTTTCGTCCAATGGATAAAATATACTATTTTCATGATCTGGATGCAATTCCTGAACCAAAAGAGAATTAAATTAATAAACATATTAATAAAAACATTTACAATGTTATTTCTGCATAGAAACATATTCATGTAATTTACTCAAAACTTTAGCCTGTAAAAGGATGTACATATATGGATCTCAGTAGATCCTCAATAACTACATTAAATAATTTTATAAATTCTGTATAAATAATCTTTATAATTTATTTCAAATGTTATATAAATATATTTATAATAAATTATTTGCGCATCAATAATCAAATATGTATAATTAAATGTAATTAAGTAATTTACATTTCATTTCCGAACAATATACATAAGTTCTGATTTTACATATTTATTTAAAATAATTGTGGAGTGATAATAATAGCATCTAAAACTTTTATGAAGAAAACTAAAGAAAACTTGATTAGTCTTTCCTATAGTCGATGTTTATTATAGTTGTCTTTATTATAATTACATGAAGAATTGCATATTTATAACATATTTATATATTTATCATATATTATAATTATATATTTTTTTAAAGTCAAATAGCAATATTGAAATTTTTCAAATATGTATATACGTATATTAATTTCCTATAACTTCACTATTAAAAAATTTTTTTTATTTGATGTAAAAGCTAAAATAATTTTTATATTTGTGTCAATGCACGCAACGTGTTTTAATAGTACCAAACCTCATTTACATTTTATTATTTTCTAGTTAATTGATTTTCTTAAATTAACATAAACGCTGTATAAACACTAAGCAGCACTTTGTTCATTTGTAAGAACACTTAACAAATTTATTTTACTATATTATTACCTTAAGAAGTAAAAACTTATTTTTCAATTAATTTTAAGTAGCTTTAATAAAACTTGAAGTTTAATAATTAAAATGTTTTATGTTAAATATCTATACAAACAGTAAAAGAATAAATGTACTTCATTCTTAAATATTTCATTACATTCATTACATTCATTTAAACCTTAGAGAAAAGTATACATCACATATAGTTTCTAGATCTGTCTGATTTCTGTTGTATATTGTATTGTACACCTTGTGCATTATACATAAACACAATATAATAATGTAACTATATATATGAACAAATATATATTTATATATGAATAAATATATATATATATATATTTATAATATATGAAATATATATATGAATAAATATATATATTTATAATATATGACAAACCTATAAACATGTTCTAAGTATCCCTATAATTTTTCATGTGTAACTATAATAAAGACAACTTTAATAAATATCAACTATAAAAAAGACTAATCAAACGTTTTATTTAATTTTTTAAATAAAAGTTTTAGATGCTATTATCACTCTATAATTATTTTAAAAAATATGTAAAAATCAGAAAGTATGTATATTGTTCAGAAATTAAATCCTAATGGAAATTATTTAATTATATTTTATTAATTTTGTGTGTGTGTGTGTGTGTATATGTGTACGCATGCATATGTGCATACTTGTGTTAACGTGCATACATAATATATATACTACATATAAATATGCATACATTTTATCATAATTGACATAAATATATACTTGTTCTCAAGAAATTAAATATTTTTAGAAGACAATATCATTCTTTAAATTTACAAAATTCTATAGAAATCAAACATACAATAAAAAAATTTTTAGAATTAAATTTTTTCACAAAGTGATACATTATTCTACTGATATGTGCAATTCCGTAATATATATTATATATACTAATAATTATAGTGATATAACATTCGCTATCTTACCACTATTGTAGTATTATTAACCTTATAAGCAATATTGTTAGGTTGAGTTAAACGTTCTTCCTCATCCTCGGTATCGGTATTGCTTATACTTTGTGGAAGAGGAGTATAACCTTTACCACTATGATCAACCGACATGTCAAATATCACGTTCTCGTAATATAATTATTTGTTGCTTTCTATGACAACATAACTAAATCATAATTATTGTTGTCAAGTAGTGTCAAGTATAACGCAAGCAAACTTGGGTTAACTCCGAATTGAGATCTTAGAGACTATAAGTAAAGACTAAAACAAGAAAACCAAACTGTCTGTTTAGAATTCCCCACACTTGACCGGCAAAGAACGTATTTTTAAATAATTTTTATTTGCCATCGTTTGTATTTCATATGAACACGTTTGAAGTGCAATTAAAAAGGTTCGTAAGTTATTAGTTTACTTGTAATTAATTAATTACTTTTCCACCCTGTACTCTAACCACAGTATAACCAGAGGCGTATTTTCGTTATCCAACCACAACCACTGATCTATATTATAACTGGATAGTGGATGCCCCCTTTCTAGCGCAAATTTTCTGTCCCCACTTGAACAGCGCCATGTTGGAGAAAGTGTGCCATTTTCGGGCATCATCGGTAGCTGTCGTAAATCGTCGTGCGCGCAGTCGTATACATATATATCGTTTCTCAAGCACTGAAATATATACTAACTGGAACGCGCGCTAGAGCCGAGCCGTGTGTACCGAGAGAGAGCATCGTCGAGTGGCCTTTGTCATTGTCTAGTACAGTTCGAACCAAAAGTTATCTCGAAGCGCAGG